AAGGATCCAGGTATGGCATCGAGCCCTGGTGAGAAGGAAGAGCCTCAGCTCAGAGCAACACTTGCAGCAGATGCAGTAAAGCTCATCCCTGGGGAAGCTGTCAGACGGTGTCTACAAGCGACACGGTGCGTGCTGGCTGCTCAGAGGAAGCACCACATGATCAAATCTGCCCCAGGTAACTGGTTCCCTGCTCCACATGGGAACCATCATGGAGGGGATGGTTAAACAACTCCCCCTTTGCTGCAGCATCACCCAAAGAACCTGCCCCAGCCTAGAGTTAACATCAGCCAGAGCCCTGCCGTCCTTGCAAGGGCTGCAGAAGCAGGTGAGAGCTGCAGAACAGCATCCCTGGAATGGTTAAGGCCAAATCATACCAAAACAGACACAGACGAAAACAACTGCCTGGGAAAAACATAACCAGCCCCACATCTTTTTGTCCTACATCGGCTGCAGCAGCTGGAAAACACGTAGGGAGGGAGGGAACTGAGGCACATTTGGGTTTTGCACGTTTCCAGAGGGATTCACAAGCAAGGCTTAAAAAAATGTGCTGAACTTCTAAGGAGAAAAACAAATTTAGGGCTCTTAAGCCAGGTCACCCACAAGACATGAACAGGACTGATAAATACTCTTAGTGGTCCAAATGGGAAGAAGAAAAGCACAACCAGGACTGGGCCCTGCCAGCAAAGTGAGAGGAAAATGTCCCTATGCACTGAGCCATATAAATACCTACAGGGGTTTCTGCTTTAGTGACCTTGATCTTTTGCAACCAGATGGAGCAAGAAATAAAATGCCACTTCAAAGGATACGCTCTGAGGTAAGATGCACAGAGGTTTGGTTCACCTTGTGAAACACCGTGCCTATTCTCAGCTTCTAAGTAAAACATTTGAGCCAAAAAACTCTTTCCCTAATTTCACCAGGATGAGGGTATTATTAAAAATGCTTAAATTAAAAAACTTCATCGCTTACTACAGCGGTGTGCACAGTAACTGAGTTGTTGGACCCAGGATAAGTCCCACTGCCGAGAACTGAGAATCAAATCCTTGCCCTCTGCTCTTGGCTGTCAGTGGCCTCTGCTCGTCCCTGATGAGACATCTACCTGGGAAAAACTCTTTTAAAAGTGCCACCAGCACAATGCTCTACTTCCCAAACACTTTGCTGTGCTCACTGGAGTCTCAGCAAAGAGACTGTCCTTGGAGGCAGCTCAGTTCCCTCGCAAATATCTGTTCTAAGCAGCACTATGGAGATCTTGGGAGTGTTCAAACATCTGGAAGGAAAGAAAAAGCAGCTATCGTGGAGGTAACCCAAACAGAAATGTATCTGTTGGCTGCACACTGAGTTTCATTTACCCCAGAGCACTGCTCCATCACCTCTCTGCCTGCACATAAGGTCTCTGGCCTTAGATTCCCCCTGCCAGCTTCCTGGAGGAGAGATTCTCTTTTTAATATCGGGTACTTCCCAACCAGGCAGTAGCACAGGAAACTCCTCCATGCTCCAAGCAAAAATGACAATTTGCAAAGCAGCAACAGGTCCAAGGGGAACTTGAAGAGCCAAAACAGCTCCTGTTCAACACAGGTTGCCGAGGGAAGAGGTGGGAGCTGTGCCAAAGCCAGGCTTTGCTCCCTGTGAGCCCTCTGGTTTGCTCTCATGCTGTGAAGCTGCTGGGGTGTGCTGCTGCCAGCACACAGCGTGCTCCAGCTCACCCTTTACACTGCTAACATGGAACAGCAGGGATAATTAATTTATGTTAAAAATACCAGGGCTGAATTGGCACATTCAGTCTTTTCCCTAGGAAGAGGAGGGAAGGAGTAGCTGCTTGACAGATGTTGGTCATATGCTTAAATGCCCTTCTGGAAGGCGCTGGGATATACGTGTTGAGCGGAGACAGAGCGGAGTGAGAACCTGGAGGAAATGCTCTCTAGTTAGACCTACACAAAACTCTCAGATGTCCTTGCAATAAAATGCCAGTAAGGAGAAGTTCATGCAAATATTTCTATGAGTATTCACATAATAAGAACACACAATCCTTGAAGAGCTAGGAACACAAGGGAAAACCTGTATTTCCAAACATGTCGGCACAGGGAGCTTATATTGCTGCTTGATGCTTTCCTTCCATTTGTGTTTAAACGGACTCATCAGAAAGCAACAAGTACATGATGAGGGCTAAAAATTACCCTCAGTGGAAGGCTTTGTATTTCCTTAGGAAAGGGTGCAGAAGAGACCTGACAACAGCCTTTAATTATATATAAAAGCTGCAGCAGGGAAGAAAATAAACTGTTTCCATATCTCCTCTGGAGAGCACGGCCTGTAAGGCAAAAAGCAACAGAATTAAATGGAAGGAAGGGACACACAGACTGGACAGCATGAGAAGTATCTGAGAAGAAGCAGGGGGAAACAGCTTGGGGAGGGAGGCTGGGAATATCCACCGTGGGAGATTTGAAAGAGCAGATTTTTGCCAGGTTGTTCAACTTGGGAAAAATAAGAATGCTTTTTGCTGTGTGGGCCCTGAAATGGACCATTCGAGGCACCCTTGCAAACTTAAGTTTGGAGTCAGGTATGTTCCAAACCTTCCAAATACTCAATTTCACAACAAATTTCTCCCTTTTCTGCTCTTGGTGATCATCAGTATTGATCAGTATCAGATCACCACAAAAACTCTGATGCCAAACAAACTCCTCCTTCTCACACCCCTTTGAGGTAGGGAGGTATCATTCACCCCGTTTTAGCGGTGGGGAACATAGGCACAGGCAGGATAAAGCCAAAGTGATCCCGTCTCCATTATCAGGAGGCCCAGCCTGAGACACTGACAGCTTTTCCAGAGTCCTCGCAATTATTCCAGCACTTCACTGGTTCAAAGCACAGCTTTCAACAGCTGTTAACACCGATCGGGGGCTCAGGAAAACAAAGGCAATACAAGTGGTGATCATCTGCAGAGTCTTGTTAGAAACGACACAACCCTTTTGCAAAGACAGGCACACAGAAATTGCTTCTTGAAAGCTGCTTTCTTTCCCTCTGATCCCCTCCAGCCTTCACCAACACCTTTCCTTTGCAATGGAAAAGAGCAGCTGCCCCATCGATAACACAACACTCCATCACTCAGCTGTGCTCCAGTGAAAAGCACACAAGAGCATCCATAAATTGGGATGGCATGAGCAAACCTTAGAGGTCACCAACACTTGTGTGCTCCCCTGAGCCTCCGCAGGTATTCTTGGGCAAGCCTCCCAGTTCGGTAAGAGCCAAGCCACTTGAGTCTTAAAAAGCAAGCTGGAAAAGCAGACATTCCATCCATCGGACACACTCAGCCCCGATGGGTTTGTTGGCAAGATTAGACACTTGTAGAGCATGTTACTGTTCCCAAAGAGGAAGGACAACCGGCCCAAGAGAACCACCCTGGTCCCCGAGTGGAGCATCCAGGCTCTCTGCCTCCTTCCCCAGCTCCACGGAACTCCAGCACTGACGGTGCCGCCTGTTCCTCCTACTACAGATAAAACTCGTCATGCTCTGTGATTCCCTGGAGCACGGATCTTGTCCTCGCTTCCTTCCACCCCCTCCTGCCTTTTCATTCCTCTACCTCGGTGGGAAGCTCTTACTCCCCCTCTCCCTCAGCATTGTGCCAACAACATGTGCTCCGAACAAGGACCAGATGGGAATACTTGTAAGAGCCTGGGGTTAACCCGTGTCTTTTATCCCACATACTCTCTGCTGTTTTGAAATGCAGACTCTATTGCACACGATTTGCAGTGTAAAGATTTAAGGGTAGTAGTAGAGTATGCTGCTATTGCTTGGGAAATCCACCTCCCTGCTCCTATTGCACGTTGAACATCCCCGACAGATAACATTTTAACGTCTCAAAGGGAAGAACCGACCGGAAACAGGGGAAACACGACTATGCATATACATGTAGATAATATTCCTAATAATCCTCTCTCCCTTGCCTCCACGTTAATTTGTGCCCACGTCTGAACTCAGAGGTGTCCTGTCAGAGCAGTGCTGAGTGGGGCCGGGCACAGAGCCTCCCGGCTTCAGCCGGCTGCCAGCACCCAGCACCGAGGGTGATCTTTGCCTCCAATTAATCCCCGCGCGGCAAACGATCGGCGACGAAGGAACAGACGCAGACTTCTGCCTTCAGGATGGATTTCCCCCACTGTGCCTCAGAGATCCATCTGACTGCCTGCACGGCCAAGGCAGGAGCCATTATCTCACCCTGTTGAATACTAGTATGTAGGATGGGTCTGGAACACCTAAAAGATGGAATACGTCTGTTCTAATTTACGGTGGCTGCTCTGTACAGAGTTAGCAATTTTCCATGTGCCACTCCAAGCGTTTTGAGGTAGCCTAGCAATTAAGAAGATGAATTAGCGAGTCGTTAATGACGGTTTTATTGGGGTGGCAGCCAGGCCCCTCGAGGCTAGGCCAGTATGAGCACGACCACGCTCAACACGAGAACACCAGCAGGCACCTACACCTTTCTAGAAGATCATGTACGTGAGAGAGCCCTGGGGCTGCAGGTTCAGGTTCCGCGTGATGCCTCCCTCGGCATGTGGAAGGAACGATCTAATTACATCCATCACAGAAATGCCAAAACGACATCCGGCTTATAAAACCTCAATTTATGCCCTGACATTTCAGGAAAACCAATTTTCAATCCATGTCATCTATCAGGAGTTCTTGGTATTTTATTTCACCTCGATGCTTTAGAATACCGTTGCCTTTATGGAGGTGCAGGTGGGGAACTGAACACGGGTGGACAAAATATCAGGAAGAAAAAATGGAGAGAAACAGAACAGCAGAAGATCTGGCTTTAGCTTTTTCCAAATCACCCGAGTCCAGAAGCACCTTGTCCCCTAGCTGGGGCTTTTTTCCTGTGGTCAAGACAGAATTCAGCCATTTTTAGGCAAGACTGGATCACCCCAAACCAACACATTTTGGCAAAGGCTCTGGGGTGACAGCCTCCATATAGCTTATGGTGTAGCCTTTAATTCCACTCTCATTTGAATAAACTCTTCATTTCAAACACAACCTTTATTTGAAAGGAATGGAGGGGTAGGAGGGGAAAGGTGAATTTTAAACAGCACAACACATTAAGTAACTGAAAATAAAGGGCAATTTAATTTTGGAGGAAGCAGCATAGAAAATTAAACAGAAGGTCTAATTCTCTTTAGGAACTCTTTCATAAACTGTATATATCTACTGTATGTACAGCAAAAGTGGGAATGCCATGGAATTGAAATCACTTATTAAGTAATTTTTGACCTGGTGCAAAATCTGCCCAATAAAAATACACAATAATAAACCTTTTTCTGCTATAAAAATTACTAGGATTGGATAACAGGACTGCAAGTCACGCAAGCACTAGGCTTCCTAACCACCACCAACTCCCTTCCCTGGGAGTTTAGGGCACTGCAATAGGCCATAGGGGAAAAAAAATGATGCAATTACCAGACTATGACATCTGTAGCTGAAAAAACAAATGTGCTGACATTGATTTTGGTAATTGCTTGGGGGTTTTTTTGTATAAAGGATGGGATTTTAATACTTCTGCTTGGGATTTTATGAACATGGTAGTACAGATCTGCAGAGCCAGGGCTTGTAAAATGGCATGGAAACACAACGTGGCCAGGAGTACCTGCAGCTGCCTCTTCCGCACAGCTCTCGCCTCGCCTCAACGACGCCTCCAAGGAAGAGTTTTGCCTCCTTTTGACTACGTTTTCCCTTTCAGCCTTGCTGAAAACCTAAGGGATGCTCACGAGGGCCGTGACCAAGAGCTCCCAGCCAGCTCTGGGTGAACTAACACGTTTCTCCAGACCAGTGGCAGGAGCAGACGCCCCCTCCTCAGACTGCGCACTTCAGATAAATAAGATTAATTTCGCTACGAGCTACTACAGGCTACAATATAGTCACATAAATATAGTAATGCCTATATGTGAATATGGATTGGTATATATCGGATACAGATAAGAAACACTTACGACGACGAGTAGATACCAATAACCGCTGCAGCTTCTCGCTGGGTAAAGTCCATCGTCCAGGCTCCACGCCAGGAGCCCCCGAGGGTGGGGTCTGCCATCCCCTCGGAGCGCCCGGCGGGCCGCCCTCACCACACCAGTGCAAAACGCTTCCCAACCCTTCCATAGCTCTGTACTTTCCCAAGGAAGCCGGCTCGAGGGGCCGGACTGAACACAACACCCCCCCCCCCCCCAGCTGAAAGGCAAGGGAAAGCCCCCGCGGCCCTTTCCACCCGGGATAAGCTTTTTAGGGACCGCCCCACCTTCTGCGCCAGCAGCGGGGAAAGCCAAGAACGAGGGAGATGCTGGACTTGGCTTTGTCAAGACTAGACGTGAAAAGCCCAGTTTTAAGCCTCGACAGCAACACAGGGGGCCCGATCTGCAGAAGGGGCGAGGAGCCACCACGACGGCAGAGCTGAGGACGCTCGGCAGCTCTGCACATTTGCATCTTAAAAAACCAAATCATCCCACCCGGGGTGGCTTGAGAGGATCCTCAATACAGCGCCTGTCCTCCTCTAACATACGAGCGGAGCTGGACCGAGCAGGTGCAACAGGTCTCTAACAGACACATGCATGCAGGAGACAGCTTCTCTCAGCATTAGACTACGTTATCAAAGCATCCCCTTACCAGAGCGGGAGCAGAAATGTGCTCCTAATATTATTTACACAATATAAAGTGCATTAGGATTTAATCATTCAACTGACAGACTTTCTGCCGGGACCATACAATTTTGAAACAGAGGTGAGGGCTCGAGTAGGAAATTCTCTCATGAGAAAAAGAGGTTCAGACCGGTGCTCTTCACCCTGTCCTCCTAAGGATTGTTTTTGGCCGTTCTTTCTAGTGCAAATAAGCTTGTGTTTTCTCAAGTTTAAGGGACATGGCAGTTTCGGGGTGTTGGGAACGAACATTTAAAACGCATCAGGGATCTGGTGCTCCCGAGCATCTCGCTGGGCCCTCCTGCACACCAGCAGCCCGCGCTGCCACCGCGCTCGGAAGCTGGAGACGCGCTGCCAAAAACACAAAGGAACCCGTTTCCGAATCTCACCGTTCAAGACTTGCATTGCTGCACTGGCAGCGCACCCATATTACCCTCCGACCCAACATTTGCAAACACCGGTGCTTCCCATCACGTGGGAACCCATTACTCTCCAACCCAACATCTGCAAACGCCGGTTCTTTCCATCGCGGTGGAAACCCGTAGCTACCGGTGTGCCCAGGGGTGATCGGCAGTGAACGTGAAGATCCCGATCCAGGTTTGGATACTAAGGTGCACCCCATGCCAGGGGAGTAAACGCATTAGCGGATCCTACGGGATACCTGCGTGCCAGAACCGAGCCCAGCCCGGCAGCCAGCAGACGCTGGATTCCTGGGTGATATTTATAACAATCTAATGACATCGGAAGGCCAATTAATCAACAAAAGATAAAGGTTTTTTTTAAAAAATGGGCAGCTTTAAGGAAAGCCATTTTGCATCCTTTTTTCCTTTTAAAACGGTGAAGAAAACATCCCTTTCCAATGACGAGTAATTTCCTCACCAACACTACAGGAACACAGGGAAGGCATGATCACTTACAACACACGTGGTCACTCGGGCTAATTCCAACGCAGGAGCTTTTACGATCCCTTGAGGCAAAGGTAGGCAGGGATGGGGAGATGTCGAGCCACGTAGAAACGGGAAGGAGAGCGTAAAAAGTTTGTACATTCATAGCTCCGGCTTGTTGGACTAGAAGGGAATTTTTTACCTCAGGCACTGTGACGGGCAGCAGCAGTCAGCGATACGCTAACAACTCATTCACTAAATTCTGGTTTCACACCAATGACAGGATGTAGAGTTATTTTAATGTTGGGGTTTGTGTTTTTTGTTTGTTTTTTTTTTTTAATTGACCTGTTAAAACCATTAGGACCAAAGCCACGGGAGCGATGATGAACCAGCGCCCCGTACAACCCCTGCTGATTCATCACGGTCCGCGGGCGATTCAAGTGATGGAGCAAAAACATGTCCTCCAGGTTTGAAAAAGGACCTGAAAGAGCAATCTGTGGAGAAAGGGATGGGAGTTTTTGACACTAAGCCAAAGGCTTGGTTGCTGTAACTGCTATATGTGGTTTTAAAGGGGGAATCACCTAAAACAGTGAAATTAACTTTCTTACTTGTCACAACCGTAACATTTTCCTAAAGGTTCTTTGGTGACTTTGGTGCAAGCTTTTATTTTTTTTTTATTTTTTTTTTTTAAATTTTTTTTTTTCCTAAGTTAAAACAGATCAACCAGTTTTAGTACCCAAACTAAAGTCCAGATTATCCTCTTGGTTCCCAACCCTGCCTCCCCAACCTTTCTCATTATGACGTTAACAGGCAACAGCATTTGGATTGAGTGTGGTCATGCAGGTGGGTCCAGACTCGGAGCGGTGAACGGTCTGGTTGGAAACAAATATGTTTCTCAAAAGATTAAAAAATAAAACATGTAATAGCTGCATGGAAAAATAGCTGGTCCCACGTGCACACTCGGCCACTCTGTAATTAAACGATCCGAATGATTACAAATTTCTCATTAGACATGGAAATGCCTATTTCAAGCAAGCTTAAAGGTGAGCAGCACGCTACTGGAAGTACCTGGAGCTCAATCAAACTCCCGCTGGTTCCAGGGGAAGGAGCTGGTCACCCAAATAGTGGACAAGCCCCTTACATTATAAATTATTCACGTTTTAAGAAACAACAAAATCTTTCATCAACCTCCCAGTCGGGTAATTGCACCCATTTTCCCTCCAGGCAGAGAGTTGATATCGTGAGATGCAAAACTTGACGTCACAAAGGCTCCAGCGGGGCGACACCCACACTGGACTGGAACTGCTCAATGGCAGCTCCAGCTCCGAGCGAGTCGGAAAGGGGGGTGATGGCAGGGCATGGATACCACCTCCTAACGACAACACCTGGAAAATCAACAGGACAGAAAACCCGACATGGTGCCCACCACGGCTCCCGAAACGCGCCGCGGGCGAGCATTGACAGAGATGCCTTTGCCTATGAATGCAACGGTGCACCAAACCCCCCAGAGGCCTTTCTCACGCCCAGGGTGTTTTCCTGGCACAGGTAACATCGTGACCGCATTAATCTCACGCTTGGGAGAGAAGCGTTCCATCCACCTCCCCACGCCCGCTCCACAGTCGCCTGCTGGAACCCGTAACACACCTCGTACAAAAATACCTTCTGAAATTTTGGGCAAAATGCATTAAAAATCATAATAATAATAATAAAAAAAAAATTGCCAGCCTCACGCAGGCTGGAGTGAGGAGTGGGTTATTATTCATTGCCACTAATTCAGAAGGCTTAGCGCTCGAGCAGAGCTCTGCTATCCTGGGAGACTCAGGTTATCCAGTCAGCACAAAACTACGGAATGAGTAACAAATCTTCTGCCCTTCACCAGCACGTGACCAAGGTCTGACTGGTTATCGAGGTTTTACCCACACAGACTGTTGTTTCCCACCCAATAACCAGCAGATGCCAATTTTAAAACCTCTCTCCCTCCTCACACAGACCAGCAATTCATGTGGGTTTGATTTTGGCCGTGAATGCCCTACAGTGGCACTGCTCAGCCTTTGGACCGAGTACGGGCAGAAGCCAGTCCAGGAAAACCCGTGATAAGCAGAAAGCGATACGTTTCATCTTAAGGTTTGGGGTGGGGGTACTTTTGTATCGTGTTTAAGTGCAACACAAGCCTTATCTAGACTATTTAAAGGTCAGAGTGCCGGATTTTGTTTGTGCTGATACGCGAACTTCCATAGTCTTCAACACTCGAAGCAGCTGACTCATACGGACTCGGGAGGTTGGTCCTTTCCTAAGACATACGGAGATGTTTTGGGTGTAATTTAACGTGATAACCAGACTCCTACAACATTACGTACCGGAGTTAGCAAGAACTCCCAGAAAAGGACTTTACAAAAAACTTGGGGCAACTTGGAATTACTATAGGTCAGTCCCTCTCACCAATTTCTGCTTGTTTTGTTTCGTTATTTGTCCAATGCACTCTATTCCAGACCCTCTTGCTCTTCACCACTGTCCCCTCTGGCATCCATTCTTTTTTCTTTATGGCTGTTGTAAATTCTCCTCATCTCTTCTTCGTACTTGATAAAATTTTCCCCGAACCGTGTCCACGCTTTGTAGGGAACTGTGATGGTGTTACGGTAGGGCGGCCTCACCTCACTTACCTTCAGGAAAATGCCGTACCTGTTGGATCCCACGTCGAAGTAGAAGCGCTTGTTGTCCACTCGGAAGGAGGTGCCCTCGGGGAGCTCCGGGGGCTCGTCGCCTCCCCCCCGCCGGTCCTCTATGTCCCCCTCGCCGTACTCTTCGATCAGCTGGACCAAAGCATCCCTGAACTCGATCATCCCCTGCGCCGGGAGGACGATCGTCTGCTCCTGTCCCAAGCTGTGGCCAAAGTAGCCCATCATGCCAGGTCCCCTGCTCATGGTTTGCCTAATCCGCAAGAAGCGCCCGCGCTGGTTCTCCTTCAGGTCCAGGTAGTACTTCCTGTTGTCCCTCTCGATGTACTCCGTTTTGAGGACGCTGTGAGGGGGCTCTTCGGAGCCCACGGACACCGGGGGCGAGGGCGGCGGGTGCTGCTGCCGCCTCCGGGGATGCTGCTCCTTGTCATTGCTGTGCTCGTGCACCCGGTGGCCGCCCTTCAGGCCCAGGTGGGCGTAGTGCTCGATGAAGTCCCCCAGGCAGTCCTTCAGCTCGGCAGCCACGGACAGGGAGAGGGTCAGCTTGCTTTTCCTGATGTTGTCCTGCCGGCCTCTTCCTATCCAGACCTCGGCGATCTTCAGGAAGCGGCCGCGGGAGCTCTGTTTCACATCCAGGTAAAACCGCTTCTTCTGGATGTCCACCCTCTTGGAGGCCAGCTCCTGGATCTCCATGCAGCTCCCCTGGGAGGAGGCAGGGTAGTGGTACTGCTGTTGGGACTGGGAATAAACGCTCCTGTGCAGGCCAGAGCCTCCCAGGTTCCTTCCTCCTCCTCCTCCTCTCCCTCTTTCCATCTTTACCAATCAGCTGGAAATAATACACAACAGAGACACAAACGACAACATCAGCACCAGGGGCCTGCTTGACTCCTCGGCAGCAGCTCCGTTCAGCGCCGCTCTCCCTACAAAGGCTCCTGCATCCCTCTCGGCTGCCACAGCACGCAGCATCGCAGCCAAACGATCCCAGACACTCTTGCTCCGGCTCCAACATCCTCCCCCGGAGCAGGGAGCCCTAATTCCAGTGGCACTCCGGCCCCCGGCAGCCCTCCCTGCCCTGCAGCCCCCCCAGTTCCCCTGTCCTGCCCCTGCGGCACTAGAGACCCTCCAGCTACCCCACGGGGGTGGGTTATGGTGCTCCTGTTGTGGGGGGCACTCACCCCCCTCTGCCTCCTGCTCCCCACTGCAGGATCCATCCCCATGTCTCTGCGTTTCCCCTCCATCGCCCCCCTCTGCTTTTCCTCCCCAGGGCACGGGGATCCCCCCCCAGCACTGCCCTCCTGCCCCCCCCGGTACCCCAGAGCCCTCCCGGTGCCCCCCAGTGCTGCATCTCCTGCCCCAGTGCCCCAAAGGCTTCACCTCCGTCTCCCCCAGTACTGTCCCACTGCCTCCCTGGACCCCCAGTACTGCCCTCCTGTCCCCCAATGCTCCCAGTACTGCACCCCAGTGCTCCCAGTACTGCCCCCTGGCCCCCTCACGGCCCCCCAGTGCCCCCAGTATTGCTTCCCCGGTGCACCCCATCACTACACCTCCTGCCCCAGAGCTTCAACTCTTGCCCCCCACTGCCCAAAAACTGCCCCGAAGAGCTCCCGGTACTGCCCCCAGTGCCCCGGTATCGCCTCCCAGTGCTCCCGGTACTGCCCCGAGTGCCCCAGGATCGCCTCCCAGTGCTCCCGGTACTGCCCCGAGTGCCCCAGGATCGCCTCCCAGTGCTCCCGGTACTGTCCCCAGTGCCCCAGGATCGCCCCCCAGTGCTCCCGGTACTGACTCCCTGTGCTCCCGGTACTGCCCCCAGTGCCCCAGTACTGCCCCCCAGTGCCCCAGTATCGCCCCCCCAGAGCCCCCCACCACAGCATCTCCCGCCCCATCGCCTCCCCCGTGGGCCGTCGGGCTCCCCCGATCCCCGCTCCCCCCGCCGCCCGGTCACTCACCCCGCAGCGCCCATCGCCGCCGCTGCCCTTCAGCCGCCGCCGCCGCCGCCACCGCCCGCAGCCGGCGGCCCCGCCGCCCCCCCCGCCGCGCAGAGCCACGGGCTGGCGCTCCCCCGCCGCCCGCTCCGCCCCGCCCCGGCCCTCCCCGGCCCGCCCCGGCCCCGCCCGGCCGAGAGCGGCGGCGGCGGCGGCAGCGCGGGGGGCGCCGGGGGGTGCGCGGGCCTCACGCCCGCGGGACTACAACACCCACAGTGCCCCGCGGCCGACGCCCCACGCGCGTGCGCGTCACCTCGGGTAACCCGAGTGGAGACGGAGGGGCGGGGGGCGCCCGTGACGTATTTAAAGCGCGACGCGGCGTGACGGTCAATGCGTGCGCGAAGTGCGATTACTGAGGGCGGCCGTGCACTCGCTGGGACCGGGCACCGAGAGGCCGCGGCGGCAAGACAGGCCCACTCGGAGCCCCTAGGCACCGCCCTCTGCTGACGCCGGCTGTACTGGGAGCACTGGGCCGTAGCGGGTGAGGTTCTGGGGGCGCTGGGTCGGGAGGTGTAGGGATGGGGGGCACTGGGAGGCGGTTTGGGGGCACTGGGGGACAACAGGTCAAGCTCTGAGGGTGCTGGGGCAAGAGATGTAGTGAGGGAGTGCACTGAGGCGCAGTGCAGGGAGCTCTGGGGGGGTGGTTTTGAGGCATTAGGGAGCAGTGGGTGAAGCTCTGGGGGCGCTGGAGCAGGAGGTGTAGCAATGGGGGTGCTGGGCTAAGCATTACTGGGGTACTGGGAGACACTGCTGGGAGCACTGGGGGCCATTTTGGGTCACTGGGAGGCACTAGGTGAAGCTCTGGGGGCGCTGGGGCAGGAGGTGGAGCCATGGGGCCACTGGAGGGAAAAAGTACGGGGCCCCTGGAAGCACTGGGGGGGCAGTACTGGGAGCACTGGGGAACAAGAGGTGGAGCTCTGGGGGGACTGGGGCCTGCAGGAGATGTAGTCATGGGGGGCTCTGGGGTGCAGTACTGGGAGCACTGGGGGGCAATTTTGAGGCACTGGGAGGCAATAGGTGGAGCTTTAGGGGTACAGGGGCACTGGGTGTGGTACTGGGAGCACTGGGGAGCAGGAGGTGAAGCTCTGGGGGCACTGGGGCAGGAAGTGTTGTGATGGGGGGGGCTCTGGGAAGGAGTGGAGTAAATCACACCAGCAGCAGTCCAGGGGAAGGCTGGAACAGCTCCAATCCAGTCAAATCCTGCTCAGTTTCCCTGGGAGAAAACTCCAGCCATCAGAGCTGTTTGGGACAGCGTATCTTTACTTAAGTATCTTCTAACCTCCCTCTGGAGGAGTCATGGGACTATGCTGTCTGTGCTTGGTGAGCTGATTCTGTTTAAATCCTAGACTGGCACATCCTTAATTAACATTTAAACTCAAGGTTTTCTGTAACTTCAGGGCTTCTGAAGGTTTTCTGTAATTTCTGTAACTACAGTGACAGCTCATCTCTATACAGACTGACTTCTAATTTCTTGTTTTGTTGGTGGTGTTTTTTTTTTTTATCGCAGAAGGAACAGAAATGTGGGAAACATGGATGTGGTAACTGCTGCTCTGCAGGATAAATATCCTGAGTGGATGCTTACACAGAGCCAGGAGGAAGCTTTGTGGGATAAAAAGGTAGGTCATGGCTTGGGGAAACTTTGCAGACTGCGTGATAAACCAACTTTGGAGCATGTGCTTTTAGTTAGATCTGTTCCTCTGGTTTTTGTTGATGTATTCAGCTGTAATTTGTAGTTAAATTTAGGTTCTCTTGTGTTATTTCTAGGTAAATCAGCTTGTTAATCTCTTGTTTTCCAGATTAAAATAGCGTATGTTGCTAGAACATCACCTGTAGAAATTGCTTCCTGTCAGTCCCAAAAAGTAAGGGAGTTTGGATGCCTTGCTCACCCAGGAATGTGGGCTGCACATCAGCAAGGACTGGGGGTTTCTCATTCCAAAGGGAATGACCTCGAGTTGTAGCTTTGCAGTGGAGTTGGTTCTGGGAAGGCCTTTTGTGCGTTTGGACATGTTCAATATTCCAGGAGGTTTTGCAGGACGTGTCAGAAAAAATAACTGTTCACCAATTTGTTGATGTCCCAAGAATGTTAATGTGTCCTTGGATCCTTTTCTGCAGATAGGAGCAGTTCGACAGAAGGGACCCTCCCTGTAACACCTGAAGCAGCTTTAACAATTAGAAAATTAATTAATGACAGAAAAAACCAAGGACTCAGTTCAGTAGTTCTTTTTCTATGAAGTGGGAGTAACTAATTAGTAGTTTAGATATTAAAATGTATTGGGTGAAACCACCGTGACTTTCACTTGTTATCTGAGTGCTCCGAGTTCAGCAGAGAAACTGGGGCAGGAACCCAAATGTTTTGGTAAATGGGGTGGGAGGGATGTCCCTGGTGGGGACAGGTGTGGCCTGTAATTCCCTAATCTTGTTTGACAGAAGCCTGGTGTGCAGAGGAGTGTTTTGGAGGATGGGCTGCCGTTCCTGGAGTTCTGTGGCTCTGTTGTTTACAGCTACGAAGCCAGTGACTGTTCCCTTCTCTCAGAAGATATCAGGTAACAGCTCTTACTCAGTTTTTTTTTTTTTTTTTTTAGTCCTATTTTTGTTTCCTTTTTGGATTTGGCTCTTGGGAATAGTTTCCCATTTGGTTTATTTTTTTATGGGAGATGCCATGGCTTAACCTTCCAGTCCCTCTAAAGCAGAAGCAGTGAAGGCTCTAATGCAGGTCCTTTGCCTTCCACAGTGTGGATAATTCCATGAGCTTCAGTGACTTCATGGAGAAGTACGAGCTGTAAGAAATCAAGCACGTGTTAATTCCTAACTGGGGACTTTGTTTGAAGAAAAGGTGGTGAATTTGTGATGCAAATACATTATTTTCCCCCTTCTAGTGTAGCACAGCTCATATTGCTGGGGAAAAACTTCTGTACACAACTTCCAGTCCTGTGAGATGAGTGAAGAACAGGCTTTCAAGTGAACATGAGATAAATAAAGAACAGTATACAGTATTTCAAGGGAATATAAACTATTCCATCATCTCTTGCATCTGGCTGTCCTTGAGGCTTGTGTGGCAAGGTTTTGGCAGTGGGGGGGCTGAAGGCCCTGTGCTGCTGAAAGGGAAGAGGTAGAGAACTTGGGAGTTGAGCCAGGGAAGGAGGGAGGGGTGGAGGGAAGGTGTTTTTAAGGTTGAGTTTTATTTCTCCTTATCCACCTTTTTATTTGATTGATAATAAATTGGGTAATTTTGATGTGTCTGGTTTGCCTATGATGGTAATTGGGCTCTCCCTGTCCTTCTGTCAACCCACAACCTTAAGTTATTTATAGATAATACACTATTTGCCATCAGATCAGTTCAGTTCTAAAGTATTTCTTGTAGCCTTGTGGACCAGCAGGAATTTCTCCTCCTTTTGGTCTTGGTTTTAAATTGCTTTGTGTCCTGCTGGTGTGAAGTGAATGGACTGTGATTCTCTTCATCTTTATAGATGACTTAAGGTTGGTATTTTAAATCCTGGTAGAAGAACTCATAAATGGGAGGGATCTCTGTTTTTTTTTTTTCCTAGGCAGAGTTTATCAGATGGGGCTGCTGTTGGATTTGATATTGAATGGCCACCATCCTACACGAAAGGGAAAATGGCCAAAATCGCTGTAATCCAGATCTGTGTCGCTGAGGACAAGTGCTACTTGTTTCACATCTCTTCCATGGCAGGTACTGTACTTCCTCTCTTACTTAGGACATGAACTGCCCCTTGTTTCTTGTGGTTGAGTTTAAATTTAGGCTTGAGCAATGGCTGATAAATCCCACCACACTGGATAGCAAATATCCGTTGTTTTTCTCCCCTTTCCCACTTACA